ATTTTCAATATTTCCTTTGTAATTCACTTCTCTTGGGTCTTAGAAATTGCTTCATATGTCATTATGGAGCTGCATTCTTTTGCAATGATTGCTTTTGAGCACATGACAGGGCATCCGCCCACCCCTCAACTCTCTCAGCTGCCTCAAGAAGACTTTCCCAGAGAAAGTTAACACTCTGATTCCTTTTATTTTTCCCCAAGAAATGAATCTTGAAATAAAAACTCCAGAGCTTTCTACTATGCCTAAAATTATAGGCTAAAATATTTTCTGAAGTACCAAGCTGATGAGAGAGAGAGAAAATAAGAGAGAAACTTAGTAGAACAGGAAAAGCTCAAATCAGCAAGTACTGAACTATTTCCAGTTGCACCCATAAGCACTGCTGATAATAACTAAGTCACAATTCCACCGGGCCCAAGTCTTCCTGTTGTTCAAAGCGGTTAACCCATTGTTCATTCCCCAGTTACCTCAGAGACAGTGATATTCCTGAGGCTTATATTTGGAAAAATTGTGATAGTCTCTCGATATTTCTGTGTTTTTTATTATCACTGTTAATAATGAAAAACAAACTGTGCTCCTTTGCAGCTCTGATTCTGAGGCTGATATCCAATCTACTTGAACACTCTATAAAATTCCTGGTAGTCTCAATAAATATTTGATAAAATAATAAAACACAGTTCTGAATTCTTTTCTACTTTCTGCACACTCAACTTCATATAGGATTTCTGGTCATAGAAATAGCATAAAAAGAGGCTTCTAAAATTTGGATATATATTTAAATTCTGTTCTAGTGACAAAATTCGATTCTACTAAGCTATTAACCAGCAAAGTAAACCAGACAATTCATTTTGCTTCATTTTTTTCTTCTCATGTTCCCATCTGTAGAACCAAAATAACTCCAGGAGAAAACAACAAACCCTATTTTCTAGCATTCTATTATCTATACTGACTTTCTAATAAATAATGTTTTAAGAAATAAAAAAATAACCAAGGGTTACTCAATTAACCAAACAATTAGTTTACTAAACAAATAGTTGTTGAATACTGCTTACTGTACTCATATTTTTGGCAATATAATAAACAAATGCAAATACACACAATCCCTAAGATCATGTATATTATCATTTAAAGAGGGAAACATTTATCATATAAACACATCTATCTACATTCAAAAAGTATTTATTAAGCTCCTCTATGGACTAGGAGCTGGGTATAAACAGTAACCAAAATATATGACCAATGTCACAGAATCTAATGAGAAAAACAAACATTAAACAAAGCCACCAAGAGTGATAAGTTCTATGAAGGAAACTAGCAAGTTTCTATAAGTGAAAATAATAATTTTTTTCAGAAAGTGACATATCAGTGTACAAATTAAAAATGAGTGGGTGTTAGATGCATGATATATTAATATTTAGCAAAGAGAAGTCTGAGAAGATGGGAAGGTTTGTGCAAGGTCCTGAGCAGGAAAATACCTGCCAGTTTAAGAAGATCTATAAAACTGGAGTAATGTCTGGAGAGAATATTTTAAGATGAGGTAGACAGATAACATATAACTTATACAATAAATGTCTTGAGAACATGGAATTCCTACACAATTACCAAAGATTATAGGTAGCAGAATCTTATGCTTAGGTCATTAATGTACTGCTTCAAAAGCACCCCTGAATGGGCTGTTATTTTCATTTGAAATAGTTTCATGTCCCAATACCTATAGAATTCCAGCTAAAACAGAATTAAGTAACTTCCTTTCTTACAGAATTTCTCAAATATTTAGAATGGTAAGTTGTAAATATCCATGCAGAGAAATATAGGTAGCATTTAACTAACATATTATGAAACTCTTTGTAGAATATTTCAGCAGACTATAGCATACACAGAATGCACTTTGGAAAATAGTGCATGTATTCAAAAAGTATTTATCAAGAACCTACCACATTATAACTTCTATTCTGGATTGGATTGGACATGATGATTAATGAGATAGAGTACTTGTCTTAGAGAAAAAGATTACCAAAGTAGAAGAGAGTGATACACATAAATAGGATTACTGTGCAAGATGAATGTTATTCCAGATATATGTGCAGGTAGATATAGTAACACACAAGTGGGAGTATTTAGCACTTATCTGCTATATTTGAAGGAGGATGAATATTTAAGTTGAGACTAAAAACTAGAGAATTATAAAATATAAAAGCAGAACGAGGTCTTGGAAAATCTATCTCGTTTCTCATTTATCAATAGATGGAAAACGAGACTCTGATAAAACAACTTTATTTGCATAGTTATTAATAGCAATAGAGTCAAGATGAGAATTTCTTGATTTCTAGTCCAGTGCTGAAGACATTTTATTAGTTGTATTGCATCATAGCAACAACATTCATGATATTACAGCATTTTCTCTACATAGCAGAGAAAGATCCTAAAAGACATTTTCATTTCTTAGCTAAAGACTCCCACATTTTGGGGGATACATATCCAATCAACCAGCCCTAAGAAGCCCTGGTTTGACAGACCTGAGGCCATCATTACTCTCTCTTTCCTGTGATCCCCAGTTCAAATTAGCAAGATTAGTCAGGGTTCTCCAGAGAAACACAACTAGTAGGATATATGAGAGAGATGGGAGAGAGGGAGAAAGAGAGAGAGAGAGAGAGAAAGAAAGAGTATAGCTCTGATTCAAGCCAAAAGCCTGAGAAACAGGAGAGCTGATGGCATAGTTTCAATCCAAGAGCCAACAGACTTGAGACCGAAGAAGGGCCAATGTTTCAGTTCAAGTCTGAAGGCTGGAAAAGACTCATGTCCAGTTTAATTCAATCAGGCTGAAGAGGTTCCCCCTTACTCAAAGGAGAGTCAGCGTATTTGTTTTATTCAGGCCTTCAGGTGAGGGCCACTCACATTAGAGAGGGCAATCTGCTTTACTCAGTCTACCAGTTCAAATGTTCATTTCATATAGAAACATTTCTAAAGACACACTCAGAATGTTTGACCAGATGTCTTAGCACCCTCTGACCGAGACAAGTTGACACATAATATTAACCATCACAAGTTCACCCTTTGTCAACTTGGCACCCATACACATCTCCTTAAACTTGAGCACCAAATAAAGACAGTTACAAGGTCATAATTTCACCCAATATAATGCAACTATCCTGTGTACAATCTAAAACATTCTAACTTCTTACCCAAAAGATGAGATAAAGTCCTTGAGTGATGTTCATTCTTCTTCCATAACTTAAATATAGTCATGTGCAACATAACAACATTTTGGTCAATGATTGACCACTGTGGTCCCATAAGATTATATTATATTTTTTTTTTTACTCCAAAAAAAAAGTATATTTGACTACACAGGCAGATTGAATTATTGTTCCAATTTTTCACTTCCTTCTTCTTATATAGTCACATGTCATATAACCTTTTTAATATGACTTTTAAAAGTCATATTTGTAATTATATTTGTATATATTAATATATAACATACATTTATATATTTATATTATATAATCATATAATATAAAAGTATATATGTAAATTATATTTATAATTTTATATACCATAAAATTCAACTATTGTAAGTGTTTTTGGTAGATTTATACAATAATGGGACTATCAATATAGTGCAGTTTTAGAACACTTCTCTTACCCCAAAAATTTCTCTTATGCTGTCTGTAATCAATCCCTTCTCCCACCCATAGCTCCAAGTAATCATATCTCTATTGTTTTTCTTTATGAAAATTTTTATAGAAATGGAATCATACAATATGAAGTCTTCTGTGTCTTGTTTCTTTCATAATGGTTAATTATGGTTTTGAGATTTGTTCATGTTTTTTCCTATACTAGACTTCATTTCTTTTTATTGCTGAATAGTATTTCACTGTATAGATATACTACATTTTGCTTATCCATTTCTTGGCTGATTAACATTTGGATTGTTTCTAAATTTTGGCCATTAAAAATAATGCTGCTGTGACTGTTCATGTGCAATAATTTGTACATCTTCATTTCTCCTGAGTAGATAATGAAGAGTGGAAATGCTGGATAGTATGATAAGTACAGTATATGTATAACTTGTCAAGAATCAAGCAGTTAGGAGGGGAGATGTCTAGAAGAGTTTTTCCTATGTTTTAATCTAGAATTCTTATGGTTTAATGCTTTATCTTTAAGTCTTTTATCCATCTTGAATCAATTTTTATATACGGCAAGAGATAGGGGTCCTGTTTCATTATTCTGCGTGTGGCTATCCAGTTTCCCCAGCACAATTAATTGAATAGGGCTTCCTTTCCCTGGTGTATATTGTTGTATAATTTGTCAAAGATCAGTTGGTTGTAGGTAGATGGTTTTATTTCTGGGTTTTTTATTCTGTTCCATTGGTCTATATCTCTACTTTTATACCAGTACTATGCTGTTTTGGTTATTAAAACTTTATAGTATAGTTTGGACTTGTAGTATAGTTTGAAGTCAGGTAATGTGATGCCTCCAAATTTTTTCTTTTAGCTTAAGAGTAATTTGGCTATTCAGCCTTTTTTTGGTTCCAAATGAAATGTAGAATTATTTTTTCTGTATCTGTGAAATATGCCATTGGTATTTTGATGGGGATTACATTGAATCTGTAAATCACTTTGGGCAGTATGGACATTTTAACAATATTGATTCTTCGAATCCATGATCATGAAATGTTTTTCCATTTGTTTGTGTCATCTGTGATTTCTATCATCAGTTTTTTGTAGTTCTCCTTGTAGAGATCTTTCACTACCTCGGTTAAGTATATTCCTAGGTATTTTATTCTTCATCCAGCACAAACTTTCTAAATCAAAACATTCCTCTCTCTAAACACAATCTTCTTTTCTCCAGAATCTTTTACATAGCTGTTTTCACAGCATTTGTTCTTTTACCTTATAGAGATCACTAGTCCTTAATCCCTTCAAAGGGGCCTCTCTGACCTTCAGCCCTTACTTTCTTTATTTTCCCTAGACTCCATGATTCACGATCAACCACTCTCTTACCAGTGTCTGTAAAACATCTTAAATGCCAATGCATATCAATCCAACCTTTCATCTTCTCTGTGCCTGCACCTATACATGGAGACATTTGAAGCAAAAATTACACAAAGTGGCACATTGATTTCACAACACATTTTAGATCACCAATACTGACAATGTGCTATTCGCTGACTAACAACCTTTTATTCCACATTTTAATGTACTATAGTTGACAATTAAAAATGTAGATATTTAAGATGTACAGCTGGATACTTTAACATACATACATACAACATTATGAAATACTCACCAAAAACTAATTAACATATCTATCACCTCACATAAGTTACAATTTGTGTGTATTTAGAACACTTAAGATTTACCCTCTTAGCAAATTTCAAATATACAATACAATATTCCTAACTATAGTTACATTGCTGTGCATTAGATCTCCAGAACTTATTTATTTTGCATAACTAAAACCTTATACTCCTTAACCAGCATCTCTCCATATCTCCCTCCCCATCCCCAACCTCTGGTACCACCATTCTACTCTCTGTTTCTATGAGTATGACATTTTTAGATTCCACATATAGGTGAGATCATGCAGCATTTGTTCTTCTGCATCTGGCTTATTTCACTTAGAATAATGTCCTCCAGGTTCATCTATGTTGCAGAAAATGATGGGATTTCCTTCTTTTAAAGGGCTGAATAATATCCCATGGTGTATATTTACACCACATTTCTTTATCCATTCATCTATTGATGGACATTTAGGTTGTTTCCATATCTTGGCTATTGTGAACAATGCTGAAATGGACATTGGCGTGCAGATATCTCTTTGAGACCCTGATTTTATTTCTTTGGGTATATACCCAGAAAATGATGGATCACTATTTTTAATGCTTTGAGGAAACTTCATACTGTTTTCCAAGTACACACAATAGGGAACGGATAATCTCTTAAATAAATTATATTGTGAAAACTGGATAACCATCCGCAAAAGAATAAAATTAGACCCTTATCTCACACCATATTTACAAATTAACTCAAAATGGATTAAAATCTTAAATGTCATTAATGTTAGACCTGAACCTATAAAACTATTAGAAGAACCTATAAACTACTAGACCTTAAATGTTAGACCTGAACCTATAAAACTACTAGAAGAAAACGGAAAAATCTTCTTGACTTTGGTCTCAGCAATGATTGTTTGGATATGACACCAAAAGCATGGGAAACAAAAGCAAAAATAGATAAATGGAATGGCATTAAACTAGAAAGCTTCCACACAACAAAGGAAACAATCAACAGAGTGAAAAGACAAAGTAAGGAATGGGAGAAAATATTTGCAAGTCATACATCTGATAATAGGTTAATATCCAAAATATATAAGGAACTCAAGCAATGCAATAGCAAAAGAAAAAAAACAAATAACCCAATTTAAAAATGGGCAAAGGACATGAATAGACATTTCTCCAAAGAATGCATACATACAAATGGCTGAAAGGTATATAAAATGGTGCTCAACATCACTAATCATCAGGGAAATGCAAATCAAGATCACAATAAAATATCACCTCATATGTCTTAGGATGGCTATTTTATAAAAAAGACAAAATAATAAGTTTTGGCAAGGGTGTGGAGAAAAGAAGAACCTTATATACTGTTTGTGGGAATTTACATTAAACAAGCTTTTTGATGTTTCCTTCTCTAGCTTTCTTATTCACTCCGCAAAGCATGTACTTTGAATCTCTCCATTATCTTCAAACCCCACAAACTCCCTCATCATTCAACAAATAGACTTCCTTCCACCTATACAGAGAAAAACATAAACTGCAGCAGAAACTCCCTCGATTTTCTGCAACCTTGCTTGTTCTTTTTCCTTTCTTCCTGTTCCAGAGAAGAGGTGTCAACTTCCTAAGACTAATGCCTCCCCCAATGCTCTGGATGCACCTACACCTGCCTCCTTGGGGGCCCCTCTCCAGTCTTTATCCCCTCTTCTTTCCCTGTAACTTTATTTCTCTTAATCTATCACGTTCTTCCAAAGAAAATTTAAACAAGCACAGAGTTCTGCTATCTAAAACTAAAATGAAAAAAATAAAATTAAAATTATCCTATGTCTCCCTCCACAACTGCCTTCTCTCTCATTTACCTTCATTCATTCAACAAATAAGCACATACTACCTAGCAGCCACAGTGTTTGAGTTTCTCACTCTTCTTGGCTCAACTTTCTTCCCTCCCATTTACTTCTCATTCCACTTAAGTCCAGGTTTCTCCCATCAGCTCACTAACACAGCTCTAACTATTGTGATTGATGCCCTCCATTTTGGTGAATCCAATAGACACCGTGCAGTTCTTATCTTACTTCATGTCTCTGCTGCATGTAACACTGTTGAGCTTTCCCTCTTAAGTGAAACTCTATCTCCCCTGGATATAGGCAGTGCCACACACTTTTTTGATGGTCTTAGCTGCAACTTTTCAGATGGGATGGGAAGAGGATGGACCTCTTTTGTTCACTGCTTAGAAGTTGATATCCTCTTAACCTCTCCTCTTTTAGTCTACAAACTCTTTCGCTAAATAGCCTCATTCATCCCACGGCTTCAATTACCATCACTAGTTCAGTGGTTTCCAGAGTTTCAGAAAAGTATATATACAATTGCAAAAACACTTATCCACTAAAATGTCTCAACCATCACTTACACAAAAATGAACCAATAACTTCTCCCACAAATGTGTTCCTCCTCTGTTTCCTATCCCCATAAAAAGCAACAAAATTCTGCCAGCTAAAACCCTTCTGTGTTTCTCATCTTAGTAAAAAGCAGGAAAATCCTGCAAATGATAACTCTCCAGTGTTTCCCATCACAGGATAAAGTCACAAAATTCCTTCTAGGTGATCAAGCCAAAAACCTGTTTAAAACTTCTACTTCCTCATCTGGTTGTTTACATCCCTCAAAATTTTGCAAGGCCGCCACTCCCATCAGTCCTTGCTGCTACCCCTCTAAATTCAAAATGCCATTATCCCTTTCTATGCTCACTCTACAGCCTCCCGCATGATCTCACTCCATCTGCCGCTGCTCTCATCACCTCCCATTCCATTTTCATCCTGCAGGCAGAGTGGCTTTTCAAAAGCTTGGGTACAATTATATCACTCTCTTGTTTAAAATCTCTCCACAGCTGATCATTGGTCTCTGAATAAAGTCTAAAATCATAAAAAGGCTTAAAAGAAATGAAGAATTCACACAGGCAAATGCTTTTCCAATTGAAACCTTGCAAGTGGTTTTTAGGAGATATTTAAGGACAGAAAGCTCTAGGTTCTATTATCTGCGCCTAAAAAATAATGCTTAACACACACGGCACTTCTATTTACAAAGCACTTTCATATATATTATTTCATTTCTGGCTTTTAAAAGCCCTTGAGATAAGGATCATTTTACCCGTTTTATGGATGAGAAAATGGAGAAGCTAAAGTTAGGTGGCTTACCCAGGATCAATTATCCACCAAGTGATATATATGACTGGTACTAAAACTCAAGTAAAACTAAATTTCTTTGTAGAACAGACTGATTTAAAGGATCTTTTTGAAGTTTCAATAAGTAACCTGTTTACAACGGGATTAACGCCAGAGTTGTCTTAGGTTGAATTGTGATAGATGATTCATAGAATTTTTTAAAAGAGATCCCAGTGCAGAATTAAAATAATTATTTAAAAACAGATATCTGATATTTAGAGGAATTATTATTTTTAGGGAAGGATAGAGTTATTTTCTAGCTTCACCTTATTTTTTCAAAGACTAGATCTAATACTAAATTTGATGCATGCAAAAAATGTCAGAAAACATGGAGATTTGACTAGCTGCACCTTTATCTTATTTTATTTATTTCAGCGCTAGAGTTGATTTTCAGAACTAAAGAAAAAAAAAAAGAACTTCCTAAATTCATGCTATAAAATGACCCAGTTGCCACTAAATAAAAAGTAAAACGTGTGTTGGACTGAAGTGAAGGTTGGCTGAAGGGTAGCTGAATAGATAAAGGAGATTCAACGTTGTCATCAGAAGATGTGAGCACCGTTAACACCTAGGGGCACTTGGGGAACTCCGCCAAGAACAAAATGAATGCCCACCGCCAACACAAACTGACAGAGGGAGGCATGGGAGCCAGAGTGAAATAAAAGACAGAGAACAGAGCCAATTCAGGTCACCTAGGCTTCATGAAAGACCAGATAAGAGAAGAGATAGAAGCCAACCAAGCAGAAATGCCTGTCTAGATAACAGCTAATGAAAGAACCCACCAAAATTAACTATGAACAAAAGGTTGCTCTCATAGGCCAACCCTCCAAGTGACTGAAATGCAAATGCCTTACATGAAAGCAGTCTTCTCCAAGCAGAGAGAAAATCCAAAATGAAAAATTTCATAATATCACCATATTTAGAGACAAAAGTGACCCTGAAGCACCTTTTGGTATAAGGAGAAATCACTTTATACTCAACTAGTTCCCTGGATTTAGTGAAAATCTTCAAAAAGAAAAAAGATCACAATGATAGTTGCTGTTTTTTCCCCAAAATTAAGCAAAAACAAACAGAAACAAAAATAATAATATATTTTTAAAAAAAAGAAAAAGAAAATCTTCCTGTGAGGAAGAACCTCTTTATGACTATAGAACCATTCAGAACCACATTCCCCATTGAAGAGAGAGGCTGGGCGCAGTGGCTCATACCTGTAATACCAGCACTCTGGGAGGTCAAGCCAGGATCACTTGAGCTCAGGAGTTTGAGACCAGCCTGAGCAAGAACAAGACCCCATCTCTACTAACAACAGAAAAAAATTAGCCAGGCATGGTAGTACACACTTATAATCCCAGCTACTCCAGAGGTAGAGGCTGAGGCAGGAGAATTGCTTGAGCCCAGGAGTTTGAGGTTGCTGTGAGCTAGTCTGACACCATGGCACTCTAGCCCAGGTGACAGATATAAAACATGAAATGAAATGAAATGATTTAAAAATAAATAAAAGAACCAATCCAAAGACTACCCAATTTTGAGGAAGGATTTTATGCCTATTTTGAAATAACAAAGTAAAACTATAGATTAAAATAAA